GGTTGGCACGCGAGTATCCTAACGGGCGGGTCGGATCGGCAGGGCGGGACATGAATGTATGATGCATCATCGAGTTGGCACGCAAGTACCCTAACAGGCAGGTCGGGTCGGGCGGGCGGGACATTAACGTATGATGCATCATCGAGTTGGCACGCGAGTGCCCTGAAGGGTGGATCGGGTCGGGCGAGCGGGACATTAAAGTAACACGCAAATGCCGTAACACTCAAACGCCCTGACACCCTAACACCTTAACACCCTAATTCACGAACACCCTAACGCCCCAACATCCGAACGCCCTAAAACCCTAACCCCATAACATCCGAACACCCTAACAGCCTAACACCCTGACACCCTAACACCCTGACACCCTAACATCCTAACGCCCTAACACCCTAACGCCTTGACACTCTAACACCCTAGCGCTCTAACACACTAACACCCCAACACCCTAACACCCTCACACCCTAACACCGAAACAGTCTAACACCCTAAAACCCAAACGCCCGTAACACCCTAAGACCCTAACACTCTAACCCCCTAGCACCATAACACCCTAACACCCCAACACCCAAACACCCAAACACCCGAACACCCGAACACCCGAACACCCTAACACCCTAACACCCTAACACCCTAACACCCTAACCCCCTAACACCCTAACACCCTAACACCCTAACACCCGAACGCCCGAGCACCCTAACGCCCTAACGCCCGAACACCCTAACACCCTAACACCCTAACACCCGACACCCCACCCCCCCGGAACACCGTTACGCACGTGCGGGCGGAAACGACGTCGCGGCGGAATTGCACTGCCCGTCCGTTGGGTTCCGCCGAGGCCCGGTTCCGCCGAGGCTCGATTCCGCCGAGGCTCGGTTCCGCCGAGGCCTGGTTCCGCCGAGGCCCGGTTCCGCCGAAGCCTGGTCACGCCGAGGCCCGGTTCCGCCGAAGCCCGGTTCCGCCGAAGCCCGGTTCCGCCGTGGCCCGGTTCCGCCCGAAGCCCGGTTCCGCCAAGAGAGCGCCCCCGCATGTGACGACGGTGCAACAGGGCGGGGCGGAACAGGGCCGGGCGGAACAGGGCCGGGCGGAACAGGGCAGGGCGGAACAGGGCCGGGCGGAACAGGGCAGGGCGGAACAGGGCAGGGCGGAACAGGGCTGCAGCGGAACAGGGCCTCGGCAGAACAGGGCCGGGCGGAACAGGGCCTGGGTGGAACAGGGCCAGTTCTTTCCCCCCCCGCCCAAGGTCGAAACGCCGAATAAGAAAACGCTCACCAGGGTCACTCTTGCGTGGAACCGACTCTGGGGCTCCCAGATGGGGTCCGAGCAGATGGGGTCGAAAGGTCGCCCCCGTCGGCGATTCATCGACGATGCGGCTCGATGTCGAGCAAGCGCTTCTCCGCGCCGGCAGCGCCGATGCATTTTGCCGACGCGTCGGCGCTGCATCGGCGATGCGGCGCGATCCTCCGACCCCACCGGCTCGGATCCCATCCGGGAGGCAGGCCTGTGGACCGCTCGGCGTGCTTCGTATTGTTGTTTGGGGCGTCTTGGCGGCTTCTCGCCGCCACTGCTGGATCCGCTTGGAAGCGCGGGTCAGGATAGACTCGTCATCCTGAGCGTATTCGGGGCCGGGCGGGAGAGCCGCGGCTGCCTCGACGGGCCCGCCCTCTGGGGGGGGGAGAGCGAACCCAGCCATCATGCGAGGTCTTGGCTCTGCCTGGACAGGGGCCCTTCCCTGGGGCTGGCTGTTCCTGCCGGATCGTGTGCTGACGGCCCCGGGGTCTGGCGAGAGCCCCCGGGTGCCGAGAGCGGCCAAAGGTTGAGGGCGCGGTGTGTGCCCCTTTCCACAGGAGGAGTCTACAGGAATGGTAAAGCATAGTCTGGTGACGACTGTTCGTGCTCTGCTGATTTGTTTGAGCATGGTTTGCCTATCTGTTTTTTATCCCAAAGCCCGCCTGTAGGAGGGCATGCCCGACCTGAACCAAATCCTTCCCGTCATGATTTTTCACACGACACGCACGCCTGGGAGCGACGGCGAGCAGGAGAGCGAGAGAGGGGGTGGGGCGGGGGGCGGGGCGCGGGAGGAGCCGAGGGAACCGGGTGTGGGCCGTGGACACCTGCGCGGGGTCCGCGGGGGGGGTGCACCCGGCGGGGCTATAGGACAGGGATGAGCCGCTCCAGAGCGTTCTGGAGCGCTCTCGGAGCGGCCGGAGAGTGATCCGAGCTGGGCGCGGCGCCCGACAGGTCCTCCGGCACCGCCGGATCTCAGAGATCCTCGATCCACGTCCTCCCTGTCCGAGGCCGTCCCGGTCCCGACCTGGTCTTGGCGCGCCGCGTCGAGGACTGCACGAGCGAGGGGCCCGTGCGGCGTCGCGGGGAGGTCGGGGGGGGGGTCGCGGCAGGGCAAGGGGGGGGCACCGCCGCCACCGAACGCCCTCGCGTCGTGAACCACGCTGGGAGTTGTTGGGCAACTCTCGGCCCCTGTCGGGGGCGACGGCATGGGCGGATAGCGCAGGATACGTGTATCCGTCGGCGCCGACGGTCCACATCTTCGGCGAGCCTCCCGGGCGAATACGTGTAATGCCCGCCCCTGGGCGACACTGGGGGGGGCCTCATTGGACCCCTGGACAGTCCAAAACCGACTCCGAATGAAGAGCCGCTCCCGGGGTGCCTTCGAAGGGTGGGCGCGTCCTGGCAACAGCGCTGGTTGCGTGAAGTGGCAGTGCGAGCCGCCACGCTCACGAAGCTCACGGCGGGGGCACTGGAATGACCCGGGAGAGGCACCGGCCCTGCAGCGGGAGGCTCAGCCCAAAAACAACGCGCACATTGCATCGTGTGTGCTGAAAGCGAGCCCTCACGCTCGGGCTGAGTTCCAGGCATCCGGGCAGCACCGCTCCTTGGAAGAGGGTCTAGATTTAAGTCGGGCCTGTCCCTCTGCAGGAGGAATCTTCAAACACAGTCCAAAAATAGTCAGGGGACGATTCTTGAGCATTTTCGACTAGTTGTAGTTTTTGTGTTGCTATTTTGAATTTTTCTTCCAGAATCGGCCTGTAGGGGGACATGTCCGACCTAAGTCTGGAGCTCTGGGGGTCCACGTCGTGACAGAGCACGACGTTCGAGTGTCCCTGGCCCGAGGTGTCCACATCGATTTCCACGGAGGTGTCCCTGGCCCGAGGTGTCCCTGGCCCTAGGTGTCCCTGGCCCGAGGTGTCCCTGGCCCGAGGTGTCCCTGGCCCGAGGTGTCCCTGGGTAGGGAAGGTGTCCCTGGCCCGAGGTGTCCACATCGATTTCCATGGAGGTCTCCGAGATGTTCCAGGCCGCCTCCCAGATGGGGTCGAAGGAGCGCGCCGCACCGCCGAGGCATCGCTGGTGCGACTCGCTGTGGAGCCCGATGTTTGCTTCGCGTCCAAGTCTCCGAGGCATCGCCAACGCTGGCGAGATGCGACGCGTCGGCGTTGCGACTCGATCCTCCGACCCCATCTCTCGGGCCGGACGAAAGGGGGGGATTGGGAAAGGGGGGATTACGCAATCTGCTGCGTGCAGCTGGTTTCGGCCCCACCGAGGGGCCAATTCCTCGATACATAGCCGCCTCCGGCGCTGGGAGGCGCCGGGAAAATCAGCTACACGAGCTGATTCTCAAACCCCCCCTTTGCTATCCCCCCCTTTCGCCCAGCCCGAATCTCCTCCGACCCCATTTCTAGAAGGCCTCGTAGGTGTGCCTCAGGAGTACCCGCTCACGAGGCCCAGAGGAGGGCCCCAGAGCTCCGGGCGCGCGCGAGAAGAGCTGGGGACACCTTGTGAGCCAGGATCACTCCTTGCTCCTCCTCCTTACTCATCCTCCTGCTCCTCCTCCTCCTCCTCCTCATCCTCCTCCTCCTCCTCCCCCTCCTCCTCCCCTCCTCCTCCTCCTCCTCCTCCTCCTCCTCCTCCTCCTCCTCCCACTCTTCCTTACTCCTCCTCCTCCCCCTCCCCTCCTCCTCCTCCTCCTCCCCCTCCTCCTCCTCCTCCTCCTCCTCCTCCTCCTCCTCCTCCTCCTCCTCCTCCTCCTCCCTTGATTAGCGGCACCCGAGCATGGAATAGGGGCAGGTCGCGTTTGGCGTCTGGGGCACCGCCCTCTGAGAAGCGGGGAGATCGGAGCGCAGCGGTCGATCGACCCCATCATCGGCGGCGCGCCCCGGAGGGAAGCGAGGAGGAGAGGGCCTTCTCTCGGGGGCGGCCAAGAGGGGGGTGATGACTGGGGGGGGATCTCATGGCGTGGGCCATGATATTTCCTCAGATGTCATGGCGTGGGCCATGAGATTTCCCTATTTCGTCACGTCCCTGGCCCCCCCCCCCGTGGGCCGCGCACGTACCGCCGACCATGATTTGCGCCCCCCCCTCTTGGACGCCTGGCCGCCCCCGATTCTCAGAAGGCGGCGGGACGTCTCAGAAGCCTTTACGCCTTCTACGAAGTTTGTTTCTGTCTTCGGGGGAGGCTTAGGAAAGTTCCCAGAAGGTGGCGGGACTTCCGAACCTTCTGAGAAGGCCTTCTCCTTTTCACTTCCCCCCCCCTCGCTCGCCGCCGATCAAGGATACGCAAGCAGTGCGTGCACGATCGGACATGGAGGGGCGCAGAGCATCGGACAGGAAGAAAAGCGCCCCAGGGCACAGAGGAGCGCACAGTATTGGCAAGGATGCTCCAGACTGCTGGTTCTCCTCCTCCTCCTGCTCATGGGGCCACCGTGGGGCGTCCTGAGGTCGCCCTTGAGGAAGGTCTCGCGTCGCCTCCTTTCAGCGATGCCACCTCAGGCTCTTGCTGCGCTCGTTACGGCTTGCGCCCTCTGCATCAGCGAACTCTGGCGGGGGAGCGGGTGGAGGGAGGAGGGAGGGACGAGGAGGGAAGCGCAGCTGGCAAGAGCAGATGACGAGGTGACGAAGCAGAGGAAGGAAGGAGGACGAGCACGAATTGAATGTAGTGGAAGGCACCAAGAAAGTGGGACGTGGACTGTTTTGGAGAGAGGTCATGGTGCGCACGTCATTCGCATATTCTTTGGAAGACGAGAGCTTTGGCCCCAGAAGCAAGAACAGCACGATCAACGGCAGCCGTAACACCGCGTTCAACGAGAACGACCCTCCAGAGTCGACCTTGATCAAAGAAGAGGTTTGATGGGGATGGGGGGAAGAAATTATTCAATCATTCGACGTAGCCTTCCACCCGGCACTACGTTCTTCTTGCAATGCGATAGTTTCGGTCTTCATGTTTGTGGGCATTCGACAAGTCGCGTGGATCGAGATGTGGTGAGAATACGCATTGCATTTTCAGAAAGTGTGTCATGCACGCCGTCGCATGAGATATGGTTCAAGTGTTCGGTTGCACTTTGCGCCGTAGCATCTGGATAAGTACAGAAGTAATTTCTCAGACTCGCCACTTGCACACTGCTCGAAGGGTTCGTGATCGAAGGATGGATGGGTCAGACCTCATGTGTACATCCTTTCCCACAGGTGTAGCGATTTCTAGTCTGCAAAGCAGATCATCAGAATTATTTTTGACGCGTCGCGTATCCCCATCAACCCGTACCTACGATATCTAATCGATTTGCCATAGCAGCTAAAGGGACGCAGCATTAGCGAATGAAGCATGGAGGCGCCCGTCAACTAGAAGGAGGAGCCACTCCTAGCGGCCGTCCGATGGTCAGCTCGAGGCTCTTGTGGAGCCTCCTGGAGCCAAGTTGGGGCTCTTTGGGGGGCTTTGGGGACCCATTGGTCGGCGGCGAGCCTGGGGGGATAATGAGAATGGGCGAGCCTTCTCAGAAGGCTAGGCAGGACTCGTGCAGTCTGAAGAGTATTCTCGGCTCTTCCCGAAGACACAGCACACCTCTCAGAAGGCCAGGCCAGAGGGCTTTGAGAAGCCCCGCCGCCTTCTGAGAACGCCTTCTCCTTCTCACTTCCTTCCGGGGCGCGCCGCCGAATAGGGGATCCCTTGGGTCCCTTTTGCGAGTATTTTATTTTCGGCACCATGCTGGAGGCCGTCGGCAAGAGTCGTAGTATTTTGACAGTTTTTTTTTTTGTTGGGACGATTTTTGTATGCGTTGAGACGCTCTTAGGGCTCGTTGGGTCCCCTCTTAGGTTCACGTGTGGCCATCTCGGAGCCACCTTGAGGCCTTGGCCCCCCTCAGGGTCACCCCCCCTTGGGTGATCGTTTTTTATTTATTCATGGTGTTGCCGATCGGCGCGGGCCCTCGCCCCCCCCCCCGTGGAGTGGATCTTGCCTGTTCTTTGACACCTGTTTCGAGCGAACGAAGTCTCCCCCAGAGGACTCACGGTCCCAACAGTCGCACTAAGCAGAGGTCCGGAGCCAGACCCCCCCCCTCTTTCGCCCAATGTCGAAACGCTAAATGAGAAAACGCTCACCAGGGTCACCCCCCTTTGCGGGATCCCGACGTTCTTGGATGCCTTCAACATGTCGCAGGAGAGGTCTCCCAGGCGATGCCGCCAGGCCCACGCGCGGCCCAACATGTGTTCCTATAAGGCTGCAGTTTTTTTTGCTGCAGCTCGTGGGCGCGGCTGTGCGGCATGGTGCTCTTGCGAGCGCAGGCGCCCTCGGGAGGCCCTGGCCAGGTGGTGCCAGGTTTGACTTTCCAGTTCGTCGCGGGTGCCCCATACTCTTCTCCTCCTCCTCCTCCTCCTCCTCCTCCTCCTCCTCCTCCTCCTCCTCCTCGTCCTCCTCCTCCTCCTCCTCCTCCTCCTCCTCCTCCTCCTCCTCCTCCTTTCCTTTGCCTTATAGATCATTTCTCCCTGTCGCACCCAGAGGCAATGTTTTAGGCAGTCCGGGCGTTTCGCCTGAGAATTCCTCACCACTTGTGAATCTGAAACTTAAAAATTAGCATGACAGCTTCACCGATGAAAGGCGGTTGGTTTGAAAATGTGGCTCTCGCCTTAGCGCCGCGCACATTCTCTTTGACAAAGCTTCACGGATTGAGGTCGGATCGTTTTCAAAATGTGATTCTCGAAACATGTGCAAGAGTTTCACTGATTGAGGGCGGTTCCTTTCCAAAATGTGGCTCTCGCCCTAGCGCCGCGCACATTCGCTTTAAACAGTTGCAAGACTCTCACGGATTAAGGGCGGCTCCTTTTCGAAATGTGGTTCTCGCCTTAGCGCCGCGCACATCCGTGTGCAAACATTGCAAGAGCTTCGCAGATTGAGGGCGGCTCCTTTTCAAAATGTGGCTCTCGTTTCAGTGCTGCGTACATTCGTTGTTAAAATTCGCAAAAGTTGTACATAGTCCCATGATCAGCGTACCAGAAGCGGCGTTTTGGAAGGATTCAGGATTATGAGGGTGCAGCAGTTATGTTGATTCGCGGTGTTAAAATCCCAGGAATGGCGTTCTGGCACGATCCTGGATCGTCAAGACGCAGCAGTCAGGTTGATCCGTGGCGCTAGAATCCAAGAGATCGATGTTCCGGCATGCATCAGGGTCTTCAAACAGGTGTCTTCCAACGAGGCAGTTCTTTCAGTGGAACTGAACCCTTGTAGGGGCGTGTGAAGAGGGAGCTTGGGAGCTTGGAGGGAGGGTTGATTCCAACATCGTTGGTGACCCTTGGGTTTACACCGATCCTCCTGCTCCTCCTCCTCCTCCTCCTCCTCCTCCTCCTCCTCTTCCCCTGGTTCCCTGATAGCGTCTCGCGAAAAGGCTCTCATAGCTGTAGACATGGGCCACGGAAGAGCCCCACAAGGGTGGGACGGGGAGCCCTTAGGCCGCCCGGGCCGGCAGACGTTTCGCTGGAGCCTTTTTCACAACTTATTCCGGAGTCGTGGTCTTGTCCCCTGGAAAAAAAATCGGGTGCTCAAATGGCCTTGCTCTCACCCCTTTCCCACCCGTCAGCGATCTTGGGGATCCCTAGGACTACGCGCTTCCACCAGCAGACCTCCTTCTTCTCGACCCGCCTCTGCACGCTTGCTGCTATCAGAGTGCCTTGCTGGGGTAAGTTCCCCTTGCAGGGCAACACCTGGCTCTGCCGGTACCATTGAGAACAATGTGTCGCTGCGCCGCTTGCTCCGACGCGCGGCCTGACGTCTGGGGAATGCGCCTCGGCCACCAGGGCAAGCGCAGCCTCGGACGATAGGGGCTCGCCGTGGGTTTGCCGTGGGCCTGCTGCGGTGCCGGCGTCGTTTGCTCGGGCGCTGGAGCGAAGGGTTTGCCGCGGGTCTGCCGTGGTGCCTGCTTCGTCCACGTGGGCGCGTCGAGAACCAACGGCGCGGTGACATATGATGCTTCTTGGGGCCTCTCCAGGCTGCTTCCGAGATTTCTCTTCGGCCTGATGTGCTGGTGAGCGAGCATGAGGAGGAGGGGCAGCAGCGGGGGGCGGGAGGAGGGATGAGGATAGAAAGAGTGGAAAGAGGAGGCAGAAGGAGAAGAATGGGGAGGAGAGCGGGAGGAGGACGGGGAGGAGAACGGGTGGAGGCGGGAAACAGGATAGGAGGAGGCGGAGGAGGAGGCAGGAGGAGAAGGGAGGATGAGGGGGGGCCAACGCAAGGAAGATGAGGAGGCGGAGGAGGAGGGATGGAGGCGTTGGAGTGAGGATGGGAGAAAGAGGGAGGACCAACGGTGAGGGAGGGAGGGTCTCGATTCGAGCAGTGGAGAGAGAACAGGGAGGGAGGGCAGAGGATCAGGAGTATGATGAGGAGGGGAGGGATCAGGGGAAGGAGGAGGGACAGGGGAAGGGCAAGAGGAAGGGGAGGGAGTAGGAGGAGGAGGAGGAGGAGGAGGAGGAGGAGGAAGAGGAGGGCGATAAGGAGAAGAAACAGGACGTGGGCAGGACTTCACGGGCGTCCTCAGGAGGGCCAGGATGACCAAGGCGGACTGGCTGCTGAGCACACCCCAAGGCCCCGCCCCAGATGCTTCTCGCGCCGAGGCATGCTATCACTCAGCCCCGTATGGAACGAGGAGGTGGCGGAGAGACACGAGGAGGTGGCGGAGGGCAAACTGAGACAACGGTGGTTGGTTGTTGGTTGGCCGTTTTGTTGGGGGGGAGGGGCCTCGCCGCCACGGCTGGACGCGGCTCGGAAAATGTATGCGTTTGGACCGCTGGAGGGCACCGGGGACCGAATTCGAGCTGCCCCAGTCTCAGCTCGCCATGTTCCGAATTCGGTCACTCATGGAACGAGGAGGTGAGGCATTTGTAAGAGAAGGTGAAAGAGGAGGAGGAGAAGGATGAGGAGGAGGAGGAAGAGGAGGGAGGAGGGAAGAGGGAGGAGGGAGGAGGGAGGTGGGAGGAGGGAGGAGGAAGGATGAGGGAGGAGGGAGGAAGGAGGAGGGAGGAAGAGGGAGGAGGGGGGAGGAGGAGGGAGGAGGGAGGACTGGACTGGTCCTCCAGAGGATGGGGTCGGTGGCCTCGTGCGTGGCCGCCTTTTCGTGGGGGGCGCCAGAGGCCCGGGAGGGAGGAGAGAGGAGGGAGAAGGAGCAGGAGGAGGCGGAGGAGGCGGAGGAGGAGGAGGAGGACGAGGAGGAGGGAGGAGGAGGAGGGCGGACGAGGAGGAGCAGTTGGAGGGCGACGAGGACGACGAGGGGTCGGAGGAGGGGGCGGACCACGATGAGGGATGAGGAGGATAACGAGGAGGAGGAACAGAAGGAGGAGAAACGGAAGGAGGAGAAACGGAAGGATGAGAAGCAGGATGAGGCGGAGGCGGTGGCCCAACGCCTCCGCTCCGAAGCCACCCACCCACGCTGTCTTCGCCAGAGGGGTGGGATAAGGGATGAGGAAGAGGGATGGTGAGGAGGGGAACAATCTGGGAGATCGTGGAGGGAGGGGGGAGACGAGGAGGAGGAGGAGGAGGAGGAGAAGGAGGAGGAGGAAGAGGAGGAGGAGGAGAAAGAGGAGGATGGGAGGAAGACGAGAGAGGACGAGGAGGAGGAGGACGAGCAAGCAAGCAATCAAGAACTCTCGGGTGCAGTCGATGGTCGAGCCTCGATAGGGCAAATAAAAAGTTTACACCTGAGTGACGGCAATGCCGCAACTTCCCTCACCAGCAGGCGCTGCTGGTGGGGACACCACCTGAGGCCCTCGACCCGTCCTTTGGCTGAGGGGTGCCAGCTAGGGGGGTGATGGGCACCACTCCGACAAGTTCCGAATTACCCAGGCGGCCGCGCACAAGGGCCTCGGGAGGATCGCCTCGGCATCGGCACGAAAGAATCTGAAAGGCGGCGAATCGGTCGCAATCCAGGGGGACGAGGAGGAGGCTCAGAGGGAGGAGGAACAGGGGACAAAAATCCTCTCGCGACTAGAGGAGGACGAGGAGGAGGAGGAGGAGGAGGAGGAGGAGGAGGAGGAGGTGGAGGAGGAGGAGGAGGAGGGGAGGGGAGGGGAGGGGAGGGAGGGAGGGAGGGTGGAGGGGGAGGCAGGGACGGGCCGCCTCCTCGAGGCAGGGCAGGAGCTTCGAGGGCAACGCTAGGACGACAGGGGCGAGATAGGCACCTGAAGGGGGGGTTTGCGTCGTGTCGACCAGCGGCGACCCCAGCGCGGACGTTCAAGGTTGAACGCCGCCGGCGGCCCAGAATCGATCGATGTTGAACGATCGGACGTTGCGGCAGCGGCCGATCGTTCAAGGTGGAACGATCCCTGCGGTGTCAAAAACCAACGCTGGGGTCGGCACGACACGAACCTGCCGTAGGGGGGGGGCACGCACGGGCCCCCAATCGCCCCTTGACCGCCGACATGGGCCCTCGGAGGCGGCGGTAGGGACGAATAGCCCAGGGGCGGGCATCCCACGTGTTCGCTGGGGAGCCTCGGCGAAGGCATGGGCCATCGGCGCCCCTGAATGCATGCATGACCCTGGGTCGTCGAGAACTCACGGGGGGGAGAGCTGTCCCATTCGCGAGGCATTCGCGAGGTTGCGGGCGCACCCATCCGGGAGCGGAGGGCTCGATCCCATAATTATACACTGGGGGAGGGTGGAGGGGGGGGGCGGGGGCGACAACCGAGGGAAGGGAGGGGAGGGGAAGGGAAGGGGGAGGGAGGGGGGGGGGGGGGAGGGGGGGGGGGGGGGGGAGGGGGAGGGGGGGGGAGGGGGGGGGGAGGGGGGGGGACCATGCACCGCCCTCCCCATGGCTGTTCGCCCCCGAGCGCCGCCCCCGAGCAGAGGACGAGTCGGGATGAAAAGCAGGCGCCCCCTCCTCCTCCTCCTCCTTCTCCTCCTCCTCCTCCTCCTCCTCCTCCTCCTCCTCCTCCTCCTCCTCCTCACCCTCCAAGCTTGGCGTGCTCACTGTTTCATCCCATAGTTTCCGTGTCGCCCCTTTTTCTGCCAACGCACGATTACGTGCACGGCGTCTGTCTGTCTGTCTGTCTGTCTGTCTGTCTGTCTGTCTGTCTGTCTGTCTGTCTGTCTGTCTGTCTGTCTGTCTGGGGAAAGGGCCGGGACCCCCGGGGACCCCGCACTGACACGACGAAGACACCGCACGCGTGGGTCTCGCCCATGCCCTCGCCACACTCCCTCATCCTGCACCCGCTCGTCCGTCCTCCCACCTCTTCTCCAGGCTCCTCCTTCTCGTCGGTATAGCCCTCCTTGCCCTATCGGGCAGTGCCAAGAGGGGTCATCAAGTGGGGCACGACACCTCGTGGAGATCGAGGATGGAGGATCGAGGGGGGTTGGGACGTGTTTGGGCGGTCTTTGGGAGTCCTGGGGGGGGTCGAAGAGGTGGCAACCCCCTTCGTGGTGATCTCTCTTGACATTGCCTGTGTCATCCCGGCTTCTCCTCCTCCTCCTCCTCCTCCTCCTCCGTTTCCTGCTCTTCATCCTACTCCTCGTCTTCATTCTCCTCCTCCTCCTTCTCTCCTCCTCCTCCTCCTCCCTCTTCTCCTCCTCCTTTTACGTTAGACCGACCTTAGGTTACCCTGTAGCGTTAGTTATCCGCCTCCTCCTCCTCCTCGTGCATCTCTCCTCTTCCTCCTCCTCCTCGTTATCCTTCTTCTCATCCTCCTCTTGTTCCTCCTCTTACTCGCTCCCTGAAGTGTAGCTTGCCGTGGAGGGAGAGGAACGCACAGAGAACGAAAGGCGACGCACATATTGAAACAGTGGCAGGATTGCGAAATTGAAGCAGCACTGACCTTGCTTCCGTATCGCAACGTGGCTCGTGGCAAACATTGTTGTTGCAGTACGTTTCCGTACATCTCGCCACGAGGCCAGTACGCGTTGATCATAATGATTGGCTTCGCGATCGTGATATCTTGCGGATTCAGTTGGTCGATCGTGACCTGGCATTGTGATGACGTCGAGATCGGCGAGATGGACTTGCGATATAGGACAGCCTGCACTGCTTTACACTTGCACGCCCTTGTGTCGAGAGTCTGCATGAGTTGTGACCTATCAGTGGGTCGAGATTGCGAGCCACAGGAGGGGCCCACATCCCATCCCTACAGGATTCGCAGGTCGAGGACGTGATGGCCTTCGTAGAGTGAAGTCGGGCCTGTCCCTCTACATGAGGATCTCCAACACTAGTCCAAAAATAGTAGGGGACGATGCGTTGAG